CAGGTGTGAGCCACCAAACTTAGCTTTGAGATTTTTTTTTTAACTTAAAAAATTGATATATAATTTACATACTATAAAATTCACATATTTAAGCATACAAGTCAATTGTTTTTAGAATATTTGGAGTTGTAAAACCATCACTACAATCTGCCTTTAGAGCATTTCTGTCACCCCAGAAAGAAATCTTATATCCAGGCCGGGTGCAGTGGCTCACACCACTTTGGGAGGCTGAGATAGGAGGATTGCTTGATGTCAAGAGTGAAAGACTAGCCTGGCCAACGTGGTGAAACCTGTCTCTACTAAAAATACAAAAATTAGCTGGGTGTGGTAGTGCACATCTGTAATCCTAGCTTCTTGGAAGGCCTGAGGCCTGAGAATTGCCTGAACCCAGGACGTGGAGGTTGTAGTAAGCCAAGGTCGCACCACCTCATTTCAGCTTGGACAACAGAGCATGACTATGTTTCAAAAAAAATTTAAAAAAATAAAAAATAAATCTAATATTCATTAGTAGTCACTCTCCATTCCTCTCCACATCCTACCCTTAGCCTTAGGCAACTACTAATTTAGTTTCTGTATCTGCAGATTTCCTTATTCTGGACTTTTACATAAATAAAATCATATAATATGTGATCTCTTGTGTCCGTCTTCTTTCACTTAGCATGATGTTTTCCAGATCATCCGTGGTACAGCATGTGTCAGTATCTCACTCCTTTTTATGGCTGAGCGATATTCCATTCCATGGATATACCACTCTTTTTCTTTTTCTTTTTTTTGAGACAGACTTGCGTTCTTGTTGCCCAGGCTGGAGTGCAATGGCGCAACCTCAGCTCACTGCAACCTCTGCCTCCTAGGTTCAAGTGATTCTCCCGCCTCAGCCTCCCAAGTCGCTGGGATTACAGATGCCTGCCACCATGCCCAGCTAATTTTTGTATATATATATATATATATATATATATATATATTTTTTTTTTTTTTTTTAGTAGAGACAGGGTTTCACCATGTTGGCCAGGCTGGTCTTGAGCTCCTGACCTCAGGTGATCCACCTGCCTCAGCCTCCCAAAGTGCTGGGATTACAGGAGTGAGCCAGCCCACCCGTCCAATATACCACACTTTTGTTTTGTTTTGACCCTAGAGTCTCACTATGCTTCCCAGGTTGGCTTTGAACTCCTGGGCTTGAGCAAGCTTCCCACTTCAGTCTCTCAAGTAGCTGGGACAAGCAGGTATGTACCGCCACACCTGGCTGGATAGGCCATGTTTTTGTTTGTCCATCTGTCTGTTGATGGACGTTTGGTTTGTTTCTACTTTTTGACTGGGATGAATAATGCTGCTATGAACATTCACGTACAGGTTTAGTATGTGGACATACATTTTCAGTTCTTTCGGGTACATACCTGGGGGTTGGGGTCATATGACAGCCCCATGTTGGGGCCGATTTTTAAAACAAGGACAGTGTCTAGTGCTGGACTCTCAGTAGGTTTTTGGCACAGGTTCGTTGCACGCTGATAGGTACCCAAAGTGCTCCAGGGAGAGACAGAGGCTTTGTGGATGAGAGACCAACCAGAGCCCAGCTCACGGGGAGAAGCTGGTTTGTGCTGTGTTCGAGGAACTAGAAGGGACCAGCAGGTCTGGGGGTGGCCTGGGAAACTGGTGTATGATGCAGTGGCCAGGAGGGAGTCATAGCTAGGTCTGGGGCAGGGTAGGACTTGCAGATGAGAAGGAATCTGAGAGGGGGAAAAAGGGAGAAAAAGAGAAAGTGAACAGGGCAAAGAGAGGAAGAACTCAACAAACCCTCCGACAAACCTTCTGTTAAGAGAGCGTGGGCAGGGGAGAGGCCAAGGTGAGGCTGGGAGAAGGCTGGCGAAGCTCTGAAAGTTGTTTACCTACTCTGCCGCCTCCAAGATAAAGGGGTCCCCCAACTGCCTGGGGCGGTTAGACAGGTCCCCAAGAAACCAGGAAAAATCTTAACCTTTAATCTAAATACCCCTTCCCCTTTCCTGCCTGACAAAGCACATACCTCTACACCCTTGTCAACCAGGTGGCTTTTTGTTTTTCTCTGAGAGAGTGAGTAAGCTGGTGCTGCCCTGAGCTCAAGTCTTCCCCTCCACCCACTCCAATATCCAAGGCTCTCCACCTTCCACACTAGTCCTTCCAACGCACATCCCTATGGAGGCATCTAGAAGCTCCGTTCAGCCTGTGCCCTCAGTCTGGTCCCAGCAGTAGGCAGGACCCGCCGAGTAGGAACCCACAAGAAAGACACTACCCCCAACTCTCCTCTCCCATGTGTCATTCTCAACTTTCCCCCACTCCCCCGCAACAGCTGGCTCTCACAGATTTGCTAAAGCAATCCCCCACTCACAAGTATCAACCAAGCGAGAGTGGAGCTGGTAATCACTTAAGCTGCAAAGCACTTGCTTGAGAGGCTATTGCATTTTAGCTGAGACATAGTCCCATGGAACCCAGCTTTAAAGCTTGGTTGCAGGGTGGAGGTTCTGTCTGGGGGGGATGGGAGACTGTGATGAGAGCTGCTCAGAGTCAGCAAGGTGGTGGGAGGCTGTTGCCTACACTCAAGGCCACCCCTGGACATTCTTCTGTATATCTGCTTTGCTCTTAACCAAAGGAAAGAGCTCTTCATGGCATTTTGTCTTGGTGGGTGGGAGGTTCAGAATTTAAACCTCAACCACTGATAGGATCTACCCCCACTCAAAGATCCCAGCAGGAAGCCCCAGAGACCCACCGTTGCATTCCCAGAAGTTGTTGGAGCTCAGGAATACCCAGCCCATGAGCATCCTCAGGGCTACTCATCCCAAACCTGTGCCTGATCTGCAGAGTGTACGATGATGATTCACAAAGCAAGAGGTATTGCCTAAGGATCTGTCTTAGAGATAACTCCTGCGTTCGATTCCTGGGTGGTCTTCTTAACAACCATGTGCTGTGGGCAGAGTTCCTGAACCTCTCTGTGCCCCCACTTCCTTATGCATAAAATGGAGAAAACAGTACTACTTTGCAAGGTGGTTGTGAAGATTAAATGTGCTGATACATGTGAAGGACTATGAATAGTGCCTGGCACACAGTAAGTGCAGAATAAAGTGAGTTATCATTGTTACCATGATTCTTTTTCTTTTCTGTGAGCCAGTTCCTGCTGCAGGGCTCTCTCTGCTCCCTGTTCAGAGCCCTGTGTTGGGTAATCAGCGCTGAGGGAGACACAAAGCTACCCAGGAAGAGATGGCCCAGCTGGGTGAGTGTGCATCTCTGCTGGCTTCAGAGCCCTTCAAGCCCTGCCCTGCCAACCTGTCATTTCGAATTATCCTCATTCCCCTTCCTGTTCTTTGCACTACATATGTTCTTTAAAAGTTCCAGGTAAAAGAGCTTTTGTAAGTCAAAGTACTTAAGCAAAACCAAAAAAACCTCTGCTAGCTACAGATACTTTATCTTCTTTTCTAATTAAACCTCTAGGCAGAATGAATCTTGAGCTTTTTCTTAAGATTTTTCTGAGTCTCCTGTATATTCCAATCCTGTACCACACCCACAAAACACTGGTGTACACAAGGAGACTTGCTTTTTAAGAGGAGAATAATTTGGTTTACAAGAGGATTTGGGGAAAATGGGGATAATCACTTACAAAATTGACCATGTTTTTAAGCCTGGGTGGCATAAAGTGGGGTTCATCTGTACTGACACCTGTGTTCCCTCCGCCGGCTCTGGAAGCAAGGCGGATAGAAACACCTGCCCTCATGAACACCTCTAGGAGTGAGCCAAAGGGGAGAACCACAGCCCAGAACGGCCTGTCCAGAGGTTTCTCTGGGGTAGCCCAACTGTAGTTTTGTCTCCAGGCCAGCTGCCTGCTCGACTGAGTCCATGGGATCTGGGAAACCACTCAGCCAGGAGCTGGGGCTGGGGGCTCACCCAGCAGCCTCCGGCTTGCAGGTCATCTATTCCCTATTCTGTGATGGGTCTCCGTTTTCCACGCTGCACCGGGAGCGTGAATCCTGCTGCCTTTCCGCAAAGGTCCCCGGAGGTGGCTCTGTCCAATTTAAGCAGAGAGAATGAGGCTCTGCAATGGTATCAAAGGGGGACCTCTGGGGGCAGTGCCAGGGAGAGTCCAGAGCCCTGTCCTGGGGCAGAGGCCAAGCAGGAGTAGCATGAGGTGGGTGGGGAGTGGAGGGGAACCTTGGCACCAGGGCTGGAGTGTCACCTTGCCAAGCTATGGGTGAAGTGTCCTGCCCCTCCCTACCTGGCCTTAATGGTGAGGTGCTGTGTGTCTTGGGGGCCAACGCAGAAACCATGTTCTGGCTGTCACAGGAGGAGGGCTACACAGGACCCACCAACCCCATGGCTACCCAGGGGAAGGGACAGCCTGTGTTAGCTGACCTGGAGCTGCCGACGGTGGAGCCCGGCCCTGGGAATCAGCCAAGCCGCAGGCCACCTCCGGCACCCTGCACCGCCACAGAGCTGGCCCTCACACCTTCCTTCCACCTCACTTCCAATCCCGCCCCGGCAGCTGGGGCTACTGACAAACCCCAGAGGAGCTGTGCAAGAGGGGCGCCCTCCACACCTCTGCAAACTCCATCACTCCTCTCCCCACGGGGCGGTGGGTGGGGGAAGCAGGTGGAAACGGGTTTTATCCTCTCACAGGGATGAGTGGTGACCAACAAATAAGCCAGAAGTCACCTTCAGTCTCTGGAGAGAGTTTTCCAGGGAGAGCTGCGGGGGAGGGAGGGAGGCAGCTCTTCGGCCAAGGCGGGGCGCTGCCGGCGGAGCTGGGAGGGGTGGTCGCGGCCCGGGAGGCGGGGGCGACGGGCAGCCCCATGGGGCTGGGGCCGAGGCTGGGTGGCGGGGCGGAGGGAAGGGTCGGCCCGGCGCGGGTGGGCGCCGGGGCTCGCGGGGCGGGGGCGCACGGGCGCGGCACTCACGTCCTCTTGAAGACGCCCCCGAGGGCGCTGCCCAGCAGGAGGCAGAGCTGCTGCGAGAAGAAGACCCAGGAGATCTGGGGCAGCGAGCTGTGCGTCTGGCAGCGCAGGTCCAGCAGCGTGGGCCCCAGGAAGGCGATGCACAGGCCGAAGCTGAAGAAGACGCTCCAGTAGGTGAGCGTGGGCTGCAGGTTGCGGCGGAGCAGCCCCGACACGCGGCCGTCGCAGCCCATGGCCCCGGCTGGCGGGCTCGCGGCTCTGGTCCCGGCGAGCCCGGTGTCCGAGTGCAGCCCGCGGGAGGGCCGGCCGGGCTGTGGAGGCCCGCGGCCGGGAGGGAGGGGCGGGGAGGGGCCGCCCCGGCGAGGGGCCCCGCCCTCGGGCCCGGGCGGCGGCGGGGGCGCCTCTGCGGCGGGTGGGCAGCGCGTCCGCTCCCGCGCCTTCCCTGTGCGGTGCCAGGCGCCGGCCTCCCCCTCCTACCCGAGCGCACATGCTCGCCCACCCCCGGCTGCGGAGACCAACCGGGAGCCGCGCTGCCCCCCGCCCGCCCCACCAGCCTCCGGATGCAGCCCCCAGGGACTGAGGGGCGCGAGCGCCCATTTTAGGACCCGGCAAATGGAGAGCCCGAGACGTCCTGTGCCTCCAGAGGGAGGCTAGGTGCCCTCTCCCCGCGCCCGGGCTGTGGCGGTGGAGGAAACCCGGACCCCTCACGCTTTAAACCTAGGCGCTTCCCAGATAGACCTCGAGGGTCTAACGGCACCCCTTTTCCCCCCGAACAGAAGGCAAAATCTTGTTGTACATACGTTTCCTCTCGGGAGAGTATTCTTGCATGGCTTTCATTAGAACCCCAAGAGGCTAATCACGTTGCCCTTTAGAAGGAGAACCCTAGAAACTTGCCATCTTCCCACACTAAACTCCCTGGGAGGGCCTGAGAGTCCCAGCCTCAACCCATCCCAGCCCTGGCCAGGTGCGAGGAGGTGGAGGATGACGCTGATCTGTGCTGTTTCTCTTTCTCTTTCTAACTAGTTGGAGGAGGGCAGAGAGGGAAGGGCCGTGTCCTGGAGAAACCCCGGGAGGAATTCTGAAATCATCTCCTAGAAAAAACATGTATAAAAGAGTTCTGGGGAAAATTCTTTCTTCGAGGGATAAAGCCTTGGCAATGGGTAGGGGGTTGATTAATGTCTTGGCTGGGTATTGTTCGAGGAACCTGCAGCTGACCTAGGCTGTCCCTTCGTTAGGTGGCCTTGGGCTGGCTGGTGGGTTCTGAGTGGTATGGCTCCTGAGGGAGCCAGGATCTGGCCCCTGGAGGCAGAACAGTAAGGCCCTGTGGTGCCACCTCTGCCCAGATGTTCTGTTAGTGACAGGAGCCATGACATCATGTCCACGAGCCCACCAGGGGGACCAGGGCTGAAAAGACTGAGGAGGTACATGGGCAGGTGTCCCCAAGACAACTTGGCATGAGGTGGGGCAATCAACTTCTCTTGCAGGTACTGGTCCCATCTCACAGCAGCACCCCTGCCTCTGCTCTGTCCCTCCCTGGACAGTGAGCCCCAGAGATGGGGGAGTCCCAGGGTCCCGTGGCCCACCACTCTGTGAGTAATGACAAGTGCCTATTTAACAGTGATGTTGGGGGGCCTGCACAGTAATTGTAATAAACTAAAAAGCTACCCTCTTGGGGGGAAAAAAATCACCAAACAAATCATAACCACCAGTTTTTGACTGAGTCTTCTCTGCCACTCACGGAACTCCGGGAACCATAGAAGCTCAGTCCTGTTCTTGACTGACACCTCTAGTGCTGAGGACTTTGCATATTTCCAGGGGACCTGCTTGCAGCCTGGATGAGCTCTGGTTGTAGAAAGGGCCTCAGGCTACATTGAAATGTTCCTTCCTATAACTGCTTCCCACGGCCCCACACAGAAAAAATCTAATTGTTCTGCCATGTAAGTCCTTCACACCCCAAATGACCTTGCCCCAGTGATTATGCTTCTCTAGTCCAAACACCTGAAATCCTTCCATAATTTCCTTAAATGGTGTTCCCCAACTGCAGCACGCTACTGGCTCAGCTCCTCCAGCTACAGTGACAATGACCCTGGCACAAAGAGGTAGCCCCCAGTGCCGGAGGTACGGGAAGCATTCTGAAGCTTGATCTAGTTGGTGGTTACACAGGTGTAAATTTATGTAAAAATTTATGGGCTATACACTTAAGATTTGTGCATTTTTGTGTGTGTAAGTTAAAATACTTTGAGGGTCTAACAGCAGCCCTCTTTTTCCCAGAACAGAAGGCAAAATCTTGTATATACAGTTCTTCTTTGGTAAGTAGTTGTGCATGGCTTTCATTAGAACCCCAAGAGTTTAATCACATTGACCTTTAGAAGGAGAACCCTAGAAATCTGCCATCTCCCTCACACTAAGCACCTAGGTTTAAAGGGTAAGGGGTTCGGGTTTCCTTCACCCCCACAGCCCGGGTACAAGGAGAGGACCCTTAGCCCCTTTATCTCTCTGGAGATATGTCTCCAAGATGTCTCGGGCTCTCCATTTGCCAGGCTTTATGATAGCAAAGTAAAAATAAAGGGAGGCACTTCACCATGAATATAATACTCAGCCCCTTTATAGTTCTGGTAGTATAGAAGGTCCTTGGGTTGAAATAAGCATATATAGAAACAAGTACAGCCATCTCTCCATATCCCACGTCCTGTGGGGGGATTGATTCCAGGAGCGCCTCCAGTTAAATACCAGTATCTGAAGATGCTCAAGTCCCTGATATAAAACGGCATAGTATTTGCATATAACCTACATCTATCAGCCTGTACACTTTAAATCATCTCTGGATTACTTGTAATACCGAATGCAATGTAAATGCTGCGTAAATAGTTGTTACACTGTATTGTTTAGGGAATGACAAGAAAAAAGTCTGTATATGTTCAGTACAGATGAATTTTTTTTCCAAATATTTTGATGTACAGTTGGTTGAATTTACAGATGCAGAACCCACAGAGACAGAAGGCCAATTATAGAGCAGTGAGGTATGTTCTGTAATGGGGCGGTTTGAGGGCCTGGAGAGCTAAGTGTCTATTTCTGCCTGGGAAGGCTTCATGGAAGAGGTGGCTTCTGAGTGGGGTCTGAAAGATGAGTCTATATGTGAAAAGATTTTGCTTATTTTTGCTTTCTTCATCTCTTTCTCTGTCTTTTCTATTTTCCAGCATCACACACTATCCACCTCCTTTAGGCATCTTTCCCAGATGAATTAATTCTATTAAATTCTCATTTCCAGCAAGACTTTCATCCATTCCTATACTGCTATCCCATCTTCACAGGGCCAGGTATTACATTTTATGGACTGTTCCTCCAGCGCCTTACAGGAGCCAGTTAAACCACGAGTTTCTAAGGGCTGGGAGCATGTCTATTGACCTGTGTTCTCACTCTCTCCACCCTTCTCACACGTCTCACATAAAAGAATGCCTTGCAGATAGCTAGTACTGGATGAATAGTTGGTAAAGTGAATTGTTTGTCCAAAAATTCTACAATTACTTTTTATATACATGACATATACATACATGTGTATGTCACATCTCCCCATTACAAGTTCCCCAAGGGCAGAGGCTATCCAGTCTTTCCTTTGCGCTGTGTATTCAAATGCCCTTCTTGGTTGGGCACCTTGTGCTGTATTCTCTCTCTTTTTTTTTTTTTGGTCTTTAGGTTCTAGGGTACATGTGCAGATCATGTAGGACTATTGCTTAGGTACATACATGGCAAAGTGGTTTGCTGCCCCCATCACCTATATCTGGCATTTCTCCCCATGTTATCCCTCCCCAACTTCCCCCCACCCCCCCATCCCTCCCCTTGCCCCACCTTGTGCTTATTCTTAAATTTGAAGGACAAAACCTTGGATGCTTCTTTAACTCCTCTCTGATTTCCCCCCTTATAAATTGGAAGGGAATTATCCCCCTCCCTCACAAGACATGGAAAGTGATTTGAGACTCCCAAATATGGAAAGATTGCATTAATTGGAATAAAGGATCTGTAGGAGTAAAGGGTTCTCAAGCTCTTGGAGACTGAAATCTATTTATTGCCTCAAGGGTTTCCTCTCCAGAAGTCTTTTTCTGACCTTTCTAGCCTCCCTCCTTGGGGCTCCCAACCTATGCTAGTGCTGATTCCCTGTTTAGTACCGCTCTTTCGAGGCAAGGACCACAGGGTTGGTTCATCCCTGGGTGCCTGGATTTCTGACTCCTTGGTGAGAGGTGTTTGCACTACACCAAACTCTTGTGCTTCTTTTTTTTTTTTTTTTTTTTTTGAGACACAGTCTCACTCTGCCACCCAGGCTGGAGTACAATGGCACAATCTCAGCTCACTTCAACCTCTGCCTCCCAGGTTCAAGCAATTCTCTTGCTTCAGCCTTCTGAGTAGCTGGGATTATAGGCACACACCACCACGCCTGGCTAATTTTTGTATTTTTAATAGAGACAGGGTTTCACCATGTTGGCCCATGGTGATCCACCCATCTCAGCCTCCCAAAGTCCTGGGATTACGGGCATGAGCCACCGCACCCAGCTGAACTTTTGTGCTTATACCTGAAAGTTGAGAAGCCCTGCAGATCTTGGACCCCCCAGAGGTAGAGAATCTGTGTTGGAGAAACACACAGGAGAAGGTAAACAAGGAAATAAGAGCAAGATACCCTTACCACTGTCCTTTTACATGCATCACAGCTGCAGAAATTCCTTAGTATATAAAACCATGTTGTACGTTTTATTTTTGTTGCTGTTTCTGTTAGAATTGAAAACCTTAAATATTTAAACAAGGTATAAAGAAAAGAGGCCCGATTCTCGTTAGCTGAGCAGGGAGTCACTGGGTCTTGGGCTTGATTTCATGCTTAGCAGGATCCTCTTAGTGACCTGGGGCTGCCCTCTGTCCCTAGGGCCTTCTGGTCTCTGCTTTGCAGTTTCTGCAGAGGCCAGGCAGGAGCAGTAGAGTGAAGGCTCCAGCTCAAGGTGATTAAGCACATCCTGCAGTTCCTCTGGTCATTATGGGTCATGAAGCCACCCCTCCCTCATCTCCAGATTTTGTCTTGTCACTCCCTCTATGGCTGTCCTGCTGGCCAGAGTGTGGGGGTGGACTGGCAGGCTCTGTCTGAGGTTGGCCTGGGGTGGATGGCAGATAGTTTGGTGCCAAGGACTATACCTGGATGGCCCAGCCATCCTAAGGCACATGAATGCAAACAGCAGAGGTGGGTGTGTGTATAAAGGGCCTCCTTTACCAAATATCCGGATGAGCTACTTAGTGCTAGTCTGCCTGGAGGGTAAGGGGAGTGGTCACACAGGTGCCAAGAAAGGGAGGGACAGGAGGAGGTGAGATGACCAGGAAGCATCTTAGAGTTACACCAGTTGCCATAAACACCTGGGGAGGTGTTGCCTAGCGTCTGGTATTTAGTTGGTGTTTACTAAGTGCTAGTGCTTAAAGTGCTAGCTGAAGCTAGTCTGAGAGTTGGAAGGACTCTGAAATTAGTGCAACCTCCCACTCGGAAATGGGATTCCACTTACAGCATCCCTGCAGGTAGCCACCTGGCCTCAGCTTGAGCACGCCTAGGCTTGGAATCAGAGGATCTAGCCCAGGCTGTGAGATCGCTGAGCAACTGAGCCTCAGTTTCCTCCTTTCTTAAATGGGGTGAATAAGAACTCCTCTACTGTGAGAAAATGTAGACAGTGTGTAACACAGGAGCTGGTGCACCAGGTTTCCAATAAATTCTGATGGTTATTGTTATTATTAACAACAGCACAAACTGCTGTCTTCATTTTGTGCACTAGAACAGTAGCTGGCAAAGCGTGTCCCTGGACCACGAGCAGCAGCATTTCCGGGGAAATTGTTAGAAATTCAGACTCTTGGTCCTGCCACAGACCAGCTGAATTAGAAACTCAAGGGGTGAAGCTCAGTAACCTGTTTTTTTTGTTTGTTTTTGTTTTGTTTTTTCGAGACAGAGTCTTCCTCTATTGCCCAGGTGGGAGCGCAGTGGGGTGATCTTGGCTCACTTCAGCCTCTGCCTCCTGGGTTCAAGTGACTCTCCTGCCTCAGCCTCCTGAGTAGCTGGGATTACAGGCACTCACCACCATACCTGGCTAACTGTGTTTTGGTAGAGATGAGTTTTCATCACGTTGGCCAGGCTGGTCTCTAACTCCTGACCTCTAGTGATCCGCCCACCTTAGCCTCTGGAACAGCTGGGATTACAGGCTACCACACCTGGCAATAAGCTGTGTTTTAACCAGCCCTCCAGGGGAATGAGATGCAGCTACAGTTTGAGAATTACTGCTTTAGAGCCACAAAGCAAAAGTCTAATTCCCATTCTACAGAGAGCCATTCACTATTTAAAGACACTCTATGTTCTTCCAAAGTCTTATTCCTGACATAATCATCTTCCTTCAACCATCTCTTATTTACCAAGTCCTCCCTTGCTATTCTTTTTTATTTTGAGATGGAGTCTCGCTCTGTCACCTAGGCTGGAGTGCAGTGGTGTGATCTTGGCTCACTGAAGCCTCTGCCTCCTGGGTTCAAGCAATTCTCCTGGCTGAGCCTCCCGAATAGTTGGGACTACAGGCACATGCCA